TATACTAAATAAATTAAACTTCAAGTATACTTCTTTTTGCTAAGGGTAATTTCGATCCACCACATGTACCACATGTGGTGCGAATGACAAAGAATCTCTGACTCTGAATTTTAGGAGTGAAGCTAATTATGCAATTTCATTTACTTACATAGCAAAACTCATTGTGGTACAGAAGATTAGGAGGATTTTACAAACGGAAAAAGTTAAGCTGCCATCCAGAGTTTGCAGTCAGCAGACAGGCCGTTCTTTGAGCGCACCTCCTACATAAAAAGTTTTGTAAAAGTAGATTATTTGCCACCATTTGGACCCACACGGACTTATAAATGTGCATGTTTAAGCGTTTCTGAATTCAGTCCTCTCTTTCTGATCTCTCCAAAGGCTTGTGTCAAGAATGTGGTATTTTCCTGACTCGCCCTCCCGCTCTGTACCTTCTTCAGACTCCACCAGGCTTAAAAAGCATTTGCTCCAAACAGGCCGTTAAACACATCAAAGTCACGCCCAAAATGACTGCATGCACTCATAAAGCTTAATCGTTTTCATGGCCAAAACCAGATGCACCACCTACACCTATGAGAAAGCTTTAGATCAGCTCATATTTTTGCTTGTATCCAAGAGAAAGTTGGTCCAAAAAGTGACGTAATCAAGAGCGAGTAATCTGACTCACCAGTCGGTTGTTCTCGTAGACATTTTCTTTAGACAGCGAGTCAAAGTCTCTGAAATGACAGGGGGGGGAAAAAAACATCTGGGTTAAAGGAAGAATGAACAGGTAGACTGTGTGATCATACAGGCAGCTTAGCTTTTCCAGAAGGTTGTAAAAGAGTCTTCAAAGCTTTGCTGATACAGGACGGTGCTGTTTTTAGCTCGCTGACGCAGTCTGAGTTAGGGTACGAAACACCAGACGGCATCGACGAGCAGCTTCGTGCACACCACAGAGCACAATTTCTAAACTGTATATGAATAGGACGTCTGAGGTGCCAACACTTCCAGAACAAAAAGGAGAGACGCATCATATTAGAGTTGGCCTGATAATTACAAGGCCTGAAATGCTTGAAGCGAGGAACTAAAACCAGCCTCCTGCCAGTTAAACTTCCTGCTGTAAAACTGGGAAATGTCTCAGGAGGAGCTCTGGGATAATTATGTTTCTGATGTGCGAACAAAACTATGCTGAGGAGAGAAAAAGCTGCCGTGACCCTTGTGAGTGCTTGTGGAAACCATGTGCGTTTTTCAAGAAGGCAAATCCTCTGAATGAGCTCCGTGTTGGAGCCACACAAAGTGACCTCTGTTCTCTCTAATCTAGTTCCCATGGCCACAAACCCACAGCCGGACTGGTATCAAGATCACGTCAAACTGAGTCTACTGACATACAGTCCCCACTACAGCAATTTAAAACTAGAACAATTTCTCATCAAAGTTTGAAAAGTGCCAAAAACCTCAACATAACTTTGTAATAACCTAAGAAATAATGCTGATGTTTTCTAAGGCGTGTAATGAGAACCATGGTCAAAAGAAAGGTTTAAGCTAATGCCTGCTCATTATGGTCACCATGGTAACCACATGTCCGTCCGTCCGTCGCTCCCTGACTGCCGAGTTGATGAGAGGCAGACAAAAACCGTAGATGGAAAAGCAAACCTCAAACACACAGGCGCTGTGTGAAAACTACAAGCCCGACCGTACAAATTCTTGAACAGAAAAATTCTGATGATCACGGGTGAACTTTTATGTTTATACAGTGGTTTATGTAAAAGATATGACAAATAAAACCACTACATCCAGTTTTGAAGAAGCTACGAATTAGGAAATTACTGTGACGTCAAACATTTTGTGGAAAATTTTCCAAATATTGCAAAACCTGAACTGTGATGGAGTAAAAATCGTAAAAGATAACAAAATGCCAGTTCAAGCATGGAAAGTCCAACTTTCTGTGACTTGTTTAAACTTTGAATGAGGTTTCTGTGAAGCACGCCTGAAGCTCCAAAAAGGGCTCAATAAATAGGACATAGCACACTTTTCCCGATCAAGCCATACATTTTGATGTCCAGTTTGCATGTTTGTGTTTAAAGCCGTGCAACAAGATACCAGAAAAATCCATTGTTCCATGTCATTGTACCGTTACCCTGAATGAAATATTCCCAAAATGACTGGCTGAGGTTCCAGTTCTCAGTCGTCACACAACAGAGCAGACGCTGAGTAAAAATGATGAAGCGTGAGGTCGAAATTGCTGCCCTAATCCTCTGTGACTCCGTCTCAATCCTGATTTATTTTGGGAAAGAGTGGTGTCATCTCTCTGGGAGAGTTACGCCTTTAAAATCCACAGGATCAAAACCTGACCGAACCAGAACATCTGCTCAACGAGGCTCAGTCAAACTGAAAACTTTGGGTGTGAGATTAAATTAAAGACCACGAGGGAATCACCCGCAGCCTTGCACGTCAAGGTTTGAAACAAAGATCTTGCTTAGCACTAGAAACACTCGTACTACCACACCAACATTTAGCCCAGTTCCTGTAAAACTGACTGAGTTGTAGCTACTTGTACACTTGCCAGGTTTGCTGTGGCAGCCATCTTTAATCGGTTTGACCCCAAAAGTTCTAAAGTTGTAGACGCACATCCAGCGAGTAAGTCCTGACCGTTTCATTGAAATCAGTCCAGTGGTTCATGAGATATTTTGCTAACAGACAAAACACAAGCAATAAATAGCAGGCTTGGATGAGGTTTCTAATAAATAATGAGGATTTGTGATCATTTCGAGGCGGATTCAAGTGATTATTTTACTTTTTATGCAGAGATTGCCACAAAAAGTTGAGTTTTTTGTTGTTGTTCTCGTCATTCTTTCCTCCCCGGTGGTCGAAGCGACGGTTGGCTCCGGCCAAAGGAACCATGATGAGGCCATTTTCTGTGCCGACGCTTCTTCTTCTTCGCATCACTGACTCTCTTATTATTATTATTGTTCTAAAACTCACTGGCTAAAGCGTGCAGAACGGCGCTGCAGCGACCCGGATCTGTAGAGCTAAATCCAGTCTGACAGGCCCAGATTAGTGTGATGGGTCTGTCGGTCTGGATCAGAGCGAGTTTGGATGATCGTCTGCAGCCAAACAGAAAGTTAGACAACGAGATGACTCGCTTAGGATTCGCCAGGTCTTGTGATTTAAGTCACACAGCTATGCTTTGTGTGTTGCACGTTGTTGCCTCGTCACTGACCAGTTAAGTCCGGCTCGATCCTAGTTGCTTACTGGGGAGTTTAAAGTGGATGAAAGATGCTTACGGTCTGAAATCATCCCACCAGATGTTTTCTTTTTTGGCCACCCACAGGAAGGCATTATTTACAGCACAGTTCACCTACAACAATGAGGGCTGTTGACTCCCTTCTGCAGGAAATCTTCATGCTCTACAAACAGAAGCTGCGTTACGCTCCACAGACGGGACTTGTCCCACAAATATACAAATCCAACAGACGGTCAGAGTTTCTACGAATATTTACTGTAAAAGTGCAAAGACGGCAGCTGCGCTACACGAGGGGGATAAAAAGGTGGAATTACATTGTTTACATTTTCTACAAATAAGATAAATTATAGAAAAGTCTGAATGTTGACACTTAAATATTTTCTGAGGCCCTATTTCAGTCCAAATTATTTTACGATTAAACGATCGTGAGGTGAAAGTTATCGAGGTGAGCATTTTCTGCAGGAGTCACAGAGTTTGTTCCACCAGATGTTCTTGTTGTATGTTAAATGAAATTTTGGCTCGAGACACAGTCTTCTGTTCTTGTTATGATCCCAAGCAAAGCAACGAGCTGTCACCGTCCCCTCACTCCCTATAATTAACCACACACACACACAACGTATTGTGTTTTGTGGCGACGTGTGTGCTTCCTGTGTAAAATGTCAAGAGTTCGGCCTCTGGCTTAGTGATGACTAATTAAATGAAGAAGGTGAATTATCTTTACCAATAACAACTTTATTTTTATCTTCCACTCCTGAAAGGTGAAAGTGGACAATGATGTTTATGTCCGTGTGTGCGTTCATGTATCAGTCTGTTAGCTAAAGTCAAATTTACAAACATTAAGCTAGAATTTGGTGTGGTAGCAGCCGAAACTAACCTCCAACACGTATTCTGAGCAGAAACAAAATACCAGACCTTTGCTTAATTCAACTCTTTCCATTTGTGTGTGCAATATCTCATTGAATGAAAGGAGTTTAAAAAAAAAACTTCTAAAACTGAATAACTTTTGTAGCTGACCCAATTCAAGATGGCCGACACACCCAACTGACCTTAGAAGGTATAAAAATGAGCACAATGCAGTCAGTTTTACAGGTAACGGGCTAACATTTGGTGTGGCTGTAGCTGAGAGATACTCACTGCACAAGATGGTCAACTCGTTTGTCTGTTAGCAAAATATTTCACGCCCTGCTGGATGGATTTAAACACAACTTTCAGAAAATAATCATTGGATTTGCATCTACAGATAATTCACTTTTGGAGTCGCCAACATTCAAGATGCCTAACACAGCTAAGCCACTTTACCAAGCATAAAAATGGCTTGAACTCAGTCCGCTTTACACACACCGACCTAAAGTTTGGCATGGTAGTAGCCGAGAGTCATCCACAACACAAACTGAGCGCGACATCTCACGATGAGGCATATCTCGAGTAACAGGGTTAACAAAAAAAAACTGCCAAAACTTTGGCACAAAAATATGCATTCCTCCATGGAATGCTAGGCGTTTAAAAGATTTAGGATAGGGATGCATGATATTATCCGCATGTGTCGGCCGATATTAGCGATAAAGTTAAATATCGGACATTCCATCTGAAAAACTCACCGATATAAAAGGCTTCCGTTTTAATTTAAGAAACAATCAGGTATATCTATTAATGAACTACACGCTTTTCACTTGTCGCTTGAGAACAGGTTGAGTTTAGATTTGTGAAAATTGACAAATTTGCACTGTTCGATTGTTGTCATTGTGTTAAATGTCATGAATAAATGTGACATTAAACATAATCCAAGTTGATTATTATTATTGAGCATGGACTGTTATAATCCAAGTTGAATTTTCCGCCCCCTTTTTGGCATCTGCATTTGGTGGCAGGCCAAATTGACAAAGACCATGCAGAATAATCCAGTATTTTAATCCCACAGTAGAGAAAGCTATGTAACCTCTATAAGGAGGGCTAGGAAAAAACATATCGGTATTGGTATCGATTATCGGCCAAATAAGTTCTAACATATCGGCCAAAAATCCAATATCGTGCACCCCTAATTTAGGATGTTTTTTAATTCAATTCAAAGTGGAAATAATTGATCAGTCCTTCCAAAATACCCCCAAGAAGAATATGGAGCACAGATCAATTGTAAGTCTTGTGTCTGAATGAAAAACACAAACTACTGTACTTCGCATGGGACATATATTGTGCGTCACGTTTAACGTTACTTACATTAAATCTGGTCTGTAGCGATGTATGATGGCACAAAACGCCAAGCCGTCCCGAAAGGACGTGGACATGTCCCGTATGTCCACATAGTCCTCGCACTGTATCCGACACCACTCCTGGAGAGCCTTCAGAGATCCCATCGCAGCGTTAGCTCAGCACATGTGTGACGGTGTTATTTACACGAGAAGAAGCCGTGTCCTGTCTTGTCCTAAATCTGCGTCAGCACGGAGGAAGCAGCAGACTGCGTGGTTCGGTTCGGTTGGTGCTGCTGCAGCGGCGACACCGGGCCAGGCAACACCCGAGGACAGTCATTCGCAGCCTCCGAGTTAAAAAAAATACTGCAGCGTGGCTTGCGAGAGGTTAGCTGACTTTTGTAAGCTACATTTCTTGTGCGAAGAAGAAGACGACGACGACTACGAATAAACTGGAGATGAAGTGGTTTACTACACCTCTGATTTCTAGAGCAGATAACGGGAGGCTCAAAAAACAAAGTTCCCCACGTAGTTCTCTGCTGTGAGCTCACGGTTTAAATGTAAGCTGATGGTTTCCTCCTTGGTGAAATGATACAATGACTTTTTTGTTTTTTTTGCTACCATCAGTAACGGTTGCGGATTAATACGGCAAAAGAAAAAAAATCAATTACAGTACCACGCGCGCTGTTCTTATAGTTCCCTCGTCGTGACGACAAAAACCGAAACAAATTAAAATTCATCCCGGATATGAGATGTTGATCAAAATACTGACAGTCACATCTCTGACCTAGCTAAAACATGTCAGCAGCAACACACCTGAAAATTTCTGAGATTTCGCCGCCGTTTGGGGGAGCCAAACAACCGTCCCTAGAGGTATGGAAGCTCAAGAGGGCCAAAAACACTTTTTTTCGCCCCACACAATTTTTTTGATGGTTAGTAATTCGCACTAAGTGCACAGCTGTTTGAATACAGACTGTTGTCATAGAAACAAAAAAAACAAAAACAAAAAAAGATTCACAAACAACCAGGTGTAGATTTTAGTCAGTTACAGAAAGTTAGTGCATTACAATGCTTGCTCTGCCTCAGTTCTGATCTGTTTTCTGACTTCCTGAAATGAAAAAGATTGTTTACATCAGTAACATAACATTCAAATCACAAGGACAGTAAAGGGAAAGGTCATAAAGTTTATTCATATAGTAAAATAACAGAGCAAGCTGTACACATGTATACAAACTCCATCAACCACTGTAATAACAAGAACACTATACCGTACACCAAAATAAAATGTACAAAATTTCATTAAAAATAATTTAAGTAATTTAAACCAATGCAGACATTTCCTGTTTTTAGTATTCTTCGCCGCCTTACAATCTAGCTGTTTTTTTCGCTATTTTTTCTTTTAATTAATTACCATTTTATTTTCATTTGTTAAAAAAATAATAATAATGAATTTGTATGCATCCTTTATGATTGTCAGATGTTGTCATCCACTGTTGTCATCACTCTTTGTTAAAAGTCAGGTCTCTCTTGTAAATGAGTCCCCGAGGCTCAATGGGACTAACCTGTATAAATAAAGGTTGAATGAAAAAAAAGTTTTTGTTAACGTTTTTACCATGTAATAAATAAATCATCATACATCTGCATTATTATTATCCAAATTAATTGTTGATTTCATTTTAAGAGAAAAAAAAGATTGAATTAAAAGCATGCTTGATAAGGAATGTTCTATATTTATATTTGGAAAAGGGCCATAACTGTGGTAAGAATGGCTGCAGCACAAAACGCGAACAATATGCATAGCTTCTCTTTATGAAAATACTTCCGAATAAGTATTATCAAATTATTTTAAAAGCTGTAAGATTAGTTGAGCCTACAGTTATATATATATGTATATATATATATATATATATATATATATATATATAATAAAACAACCTTAACTATGCAAAATGGAATTAAACAAAATGTGACATTACGTATAAATTATATTGGTCTTTTTACTGATTTGAGTTTAAATGAGTCTCACCAAAAATAATCTGATTTGATTCACTGCGTAACAAATTCACTGTGGCCTCTTTCGCTGGCAAAAAAAAAAAAAAACTATTAGAAATTATTCTTAGATTGATGTTTAATCTTTGCACTCGCATCAACAGTTGATATTCTACCAATATGTTTTGGCACGTGCTGCCAGACTTTACCCTTGCATGTTGATATGCGCAAAATTTTTCCATATCAAAGAGGCACATGATTTTTGGCCCTGTTGGCATTCCATACCACTGCTGTTCACGCGATATGTTTCAAAAGTCATGTGACCGTAGAAAAGGAACTAGGGAAAGATGGCGGCGGCGCCTTCAGATGAGACCAGCTTGCAGTCGCTCATCAGTAAGTCATTACCTTTTAAAACCTGACGATTATTGTTTTTAAAAAGAAAACAAAAACCGAAACAAACACGCTGATCCGGACGTTCCGCTGTCAGTAGCTGTTTCGTGGATACCGCCGCCATCTTTGTTTAGCGCAGCCTACGAATACGGCGCGCAATGGTTTATGGGATTTCTTTGGGGCAATTGACAGTAAGTCAGTGATGAACAGGTTATCAAATTTTGAAAATTAGACTTTTGCGCAGCTTAAAGATTTATTGTTGGTTCCTGGTGTACCCATTTCTAATCCGAGATAGGATTCATTTGTCAAGAGCTGTTCTGCTGCTCGTATGTTGGGATTGAAGCCTAAAATGACTCACCTGCATACAATCTTAATCTGGAGGTATGCCTCCTATGATAAAATAATGCAGTCCAGATGACATGATTTAACTTTTTTGTGTGAATGCTAAGTATAAAACGTGTTATTGTCCGCCCACCATATTTGACATAAATATTAGTTGGTTAAATGTTAAATAGACTGCACTTCTCCCCACCATCACAGACATCTACACATCCAGGTGCAGGAAGAGGGCCAAGAAATCAGCAACCCAGATAAAGTCACATATCACCAATTAAAGTGGCATTACAGTGATTTTCTTGGTTAGGATGCCTCATGGATGCCTCTCTGATGAGGTGTTCCGTGCACGTCCCACCAGGAGGAGACCCAGAGGAAGACCCATGACACACTGGATGGACTGTTTCTTGGCTGGCCTGGGCATGCCTCGGGATTCCCCCGGAGGAGCTGACCCAAGTGGCTGGGGAGAGGGAAGTCTGGGCCTCCCTACTTAGGCTGCTACCCCCGCGACCCGACCCCGGATAAGTGGAAGAAAATGGATAAATGGATGCGTGTGGGGATTGTTTATGTTGCAATACTTGTTGGGGCCTAATCAATACCTGCTAAAGGTAGTCCATACTTGTGTCTTTTATTTATTTACCTTTTATTTAACCAAGCAAATCCCATTGAGATCACAGATCTCTTTTGCAATGGAGGCCTGGGCCTGAAGGCAGCCTAACGTGCATGTTTTTGGTCTGTGGGAGGAAACGGGAGTATCCCGAGAAAACCCACACAAGCACGAGGAGAACGTGCAAACATTACACAGAAAGACTCCAGGTCCAACCAGGGATTGAACCCAGGACCTTTTGCTGTGAGGCAATAGTACTAACCACTGAGCTGTCGTGCTGCCAGTTTTATAATACGAAGTGACCAAAATTATCTGTAGGAGGGCAAATTTGATACGCGGCCAACATATTTAGCACTAGACACATACTATAATACTAATACTAGACCTATACTGTAATACTAGACCTCTAATACTAGACTTATACCTACACCATGCAAAATTGAACAAAACTTATTTTCATTTCTCCACAGCAGTGTAGGAATACATAATTTTCATGAGTTTTATAGACTTTGGTATTTAGGAAAGTCTGTATCTGTGTATGTTTGCTAATGTGGTCACTTCATTAGTGATTAGAGTTCAGCAGTCTGATAGCTCGTGGGATGAAACTGTTGCAGAACCTGGTGGTTCTGGTCCTCTGGCTTAGGTACCTCCTGCCGGAGGTCTACAGAATGAACAGTCCATATTGTGGGTCTGAATTGTCTCTTGATTTTATTTGCCCTGTTCAGACAGCGTCTGAGACCAATGTCATGGATGGATGGATGGATGGGGTGTCTTAATACTTGACATATACTATAATACTAGACCTCTAATACCTGACTTATACTATAGTACCTGACCTTTACTAGACCTATACTGTAATACAAGACCTATACTATAATACTAGACCTCTAATACTAGATTGACTACATGAGTCTAGGTGTGACTATCAGAAGTTTTCAATATTTCATATTATTATATTATTTTCTCTGGATTTCATATATTATATATTATATTCTCACTTGTTCTCGAACCTACGATCAATGTTGCACATATGCACAGTGTTTTCCACACATCGGGTGCCCATAAACAGGACCACAATGCTTTGTGCTAAACAAAGATGGCGGTATCCCTGAAACGGTTCACTGACATCTTTTTCCACAGTGAAATAATGATTAGCCAGTCAATGAATGAAAAAGGTAAACACGAAAAAAGACATTTTCCCTGTGCTTTGTGCTGATGTGCTTTGATTTGGAGTCTAACATATACCACTGACAACCTAAAATGTGTGAATATATATAAACAATTTAAGAATCCCGTTAACGTTCGACTAATGGTCAATCCAGAAGCTCCAGGATCTGCTGCTCAACGAAAACTAAGCAACCCCCCATAAAACATGGAAAAACTTCTGCCTGTAATTTTAAAGACTTATTTTTTTTAAACAAAGGTGTTTGTCTGTGACATGAAACCCATGAAGAAGAAACTGTCTACACCACATCTAGCTGCCACAAACAGAGATAATCACTGTTGTTTTTATTTTCCACAGACAAGACCACCAACCCTCTGAACAAAGAGACAGACTGGGACAGTATCAAGGGGTTCTGTGATCGGGTCGACCATGAACCAGATGGGTAAAACAATAAATAATAATCCTAAACTTAAAAGAAATATATTATGCCACACCAGATTTTCTTTTATATTGTGTTGGTTTTGACAAATTGTGCTCATTATCGCCCACTGCTAAAACACGGGTCGTCAAGTTTGTGCCTTTGCCTCCCTGTTAGTAAAACATCTTGTGAACCAAAAGACAAATTTCAACAAAATTATCTGAAAGTAAAAAACAAATGTTCATCTACAGATGATTAACATCGGAGAGGACATAATTTAAGATGGCTGCCACAGCCAACTCACCTTAGAAAACATTAAAATGGATATAATTTAATTAACGAGCTAAATTTTGGTGTCGTTTTAGCTTCACAGTATGTACTTTGAGTGATTGTAATCATGCAACATCTTTGCTTAACACTTCACATAAACTTCTGGAATCAGTCCAGTTTTTCTGTTAACAAAATATCTCACCAACCAGTGGGTGGATTGGACTGAAACTTGCACGAGCTGATCATCTGCTGCTATAACAGCCTAACCTTTGGAGCTAATCCAATTAAAGATGGCCGTTACAGCCAACTCCCCTTAGAGAACATATAAATGGTTCTTATTTAGTCAGTTTTCCATTATTTTGTATAATTTGGCACGGCAGTAGTTGAGAGTCGTTCATAACATACTCCTATTGTGTCATACGGCAACATATTGTAAAATAAAGCGACAGCAACAACTATTTGATGTTGATTTAAAAACCTGTTGATGTGCATTCCTTCAAGGTGTGCTAGGTCTTTAGCTGTTTAGTGTGTTTTTGTGGAGTTTGCTTACATTAAATGTGATAGTTTACGCATTACCGTAGTTTATTTGATCAGATTTAAATCCTCTTTTGAACGTTTGCATGTTTCTACATCTCTTAGGCCTCAGCTTGCAACCAGACTACTGGCCCACAAAATCCAGTCTCCTCAGGAGTGGGAGGCGATGCAAGCGCTGACGGTGAGCGGTCACTCCCCAACGTTTTGATTTTACAACAAACCTGAGAGCAGGGTATTATTTTCTGTGAACGTTTGTGTGTAAAGCTAAACTTTGTCCCATTCCCAGGTTCTTGAGACGTGCGTTCAGAACTGTGGGAAGAGGTTTCACGGTGAAGTGGGAAAGTTTCGCTTCATTAACGAGCTCATTAAGGTGGTCTCGCCTAAGGTAAGAACTGCTGCTTTGTGTTTTGTCAAACAGTCTGAAACGTAATGCCCTTGAGAATGTTTCTAATAATAATATTCTGCTTATAATACTTATTGAAAACAACAACTATGGCATTCAATACACAAAACTCAAGGAGTGCTAGGTTTTTAATTTACAAATACAAACTTGAATGAGTGCATATCACCCCTTCACTTTTCATTCCTGATTTTTAGTCTTAAGATTATTTTATGGTGAGAAATGACAGATTTGTAGCCAATTTGTTCAAACCATGAAAATAACTTCATGCACGATCTCATGCCATATCTCAAGATGTCACAGTCCAAGTCTGTCAACTTGAGAATAACATTTATTTACCACCAAACTAAATGTTAGCTCCATTTTTAAAAACTGATTTACAACCATTTACGTGTGGGCTGTTGACATGCTAAATTTGGGGAGAGGTTAGAGAAGGTGGGTCTGTGATCGGAAGATCGCCGGTTCACGCCCCGGTACCGACAACATCAAAAATGTGGGTGGGGTAGGTGAAGCACCCACACTTGCCCCCACCCTCATTCGCCCCACTCTGGGCCCATGAGCAAGGCCCTTAACCCCCATCTGCTCCCTAAACAGGTCTCTCTTGAAAATGAGTTCTCTTGGCTCAATGAGACTACCTGGATAAATAAAGGATAAATGAAAAAAAAAATAATAAATAAATTGGGTTGACTCCCAAAGCTAACGAGTTGTAGCGGTACGTCCAGTGAGTACGGTATTTGGCGTAATTTTTATTAAAATCCAGTTTGTGGTTCATGAGAATTTGTCAACAGACACAGGTTCTGTTAGATCTTAAAACGTATATTGAGGATCATTCTTGGCTACTACCACCCCCAAGTTTTAGCTCAATACAGTATTTCAAAAAAATTGACAGCATTATAGCCATTTTTTGTTTTAGAAGACTGTGGCGGCCATCTTGATTCACGTTGACTCCACAAGTGAAGTTGTACGTGTGCACCCAATGGCTACTTTCTGCATGTTTCATTTAAACATCTCGTGGCTTGAGATATTTTGCTAACAGATATACACATGCACCTATCTGCAGTGGGGGATAGTAAAGATTTATGATATGAGACATTTGCATTGAAATTTTCCACCCCTCGTCTAAATCCTATAGCAGGGCTATTCAACTGGCAGCCCGGGGGCCAAATCAGGCCCAGGGGTGAGCTCAGTTCGGCCCACCAATGGGTTCATTTTTGAAACCTTAAAACAAACTTGCTTAATGACAGTAATTTCTGGATGTCTGGCCCCTGAGCTCTTGGCTTTCAGTAAATATGCCCCCCCACCCCCCCTATCATTTACTACAAAGTAGGGATGCACAATATTATCGGCATGGTATCAGTATCATCAATATTACCGTTAAAGTTAAGTATCGGATATCGGCCGTTCCATCAAAATAACTCACCGATATAAAAGATGCTGTTATTGTATGACAACCCAGTAACAAGGATGACTGCAGCGGCAGCACAAGGTGATGTCACGCACACCTACCTGATCTGAGCACGGCGGAGAGGAAGAGTCAAAATGTCGGCGGTGTGGAAGGTTTATTTTTTTTTTTTTTGTTGAGGATGTCTGATTCCAAAGATTTATGGACTACGTTGAGCCTCGCTACATCCTCCCCAGTCAAAGATAATTTTTCGACGTAACCTTACCCGAGTTGCAAGCCGTCATCCCCGACGTCATTGAGAAGCTAATAGCCGATAGCACTTGGGTGAGTTTTACCTCAGACATTTGGACGTCAAGTGTTAGCCCCGTTAGCATGATTAGTCTTACGGCACAATGGATAGACAAAAACTTTGAATTTTAAAAGTCTGTCCTTCATGCACAAGAGTGCAGAGGATCCCACACTGCAGCTAGGAACCTGGAACAAGCCTCCACAAGTGAGCCAGCATCGCAGGTGACTAATGCTAATAAATAACATTTAACACTTTTCATTTAATAAACATTAAAGTGCTATGCATATCATATCTCTTGTTACTGAATATATGTCACCAGCTCTTACAGCTGTTACAAAATTTTTGTAGCAAATAAGCCTAAATAAGAGGACTATGTTCTGACAAAGGAACACGTATAAAAAATGTCGGTATCGGTTATCGGCCAAATAAGTTTTAACATATCGGCATATCAGATATCAGCCAAAAATCCAATATCATGCATCCCTACTACAAAGTAACTGTACCTTGCATCAAATAAGATTATTTTCCATCAGCAACTTTTAACTTTTATCTGTCTAAAAAGAAACATGCCTTTCCTAATTGATCTTTTTAAAATTGTCTAGTATTTAGGGAGCCGGGCTCCGGAGGCGGTGAAGAAGAAGGTTTTAGAAATGCTGTACGTCTGGACTCTGAGGTATCCAGATGAGTCCAAGATAGCCGAAGCTTATCAGATGCTGAAAAAACAGGGTGAGCGCCTCACACGTTTGAGTCTGGCCATAAAGCATGAACAAAAACGACTTTGGAAGATTATTTTTGTTTTTAATGTTACACGTTTGGCGTTTTAAATCCATGTGTTCATAGGTCTGCATAAGTTTTTAGTTCCCTTCTTTAGCTGATAGTTTTGTTAGTTCTCCACAGTTTGTTTCATTTCTGCTTTCAGCACAAGCATGACACTGATATATCCTGGGTCATGTGTGGCTGAATCTTTCAAAATGGACTTTCCCCAGGAACAAACTGTTGTCATAAGATATAAATAAGTTGTAGAGGAGCAAATAAGACTGTTTCATTCTACTCGAATTAGTTCATTAAACAGCAGAAGCTCGTATCAAAGCACAAATCAGAGGTTTTCTTTATTCGGTAACTGATCTACATGCAGTGTGAATGCATTGAAAACAAGCAGTGCTGTTGATGTTTTTTTATGTGTGGTTAACTGATTGTTGTTTCCAGGAATTGTTAAACAAGATCCTGTGCTTCCTGATGAGAAGCCTCTGCCGCCCCCTCCGCCCAGAACCAAAAGTGCCATCTTTGAGGATGAAGAGAAATCCAAGGTAGGTATGAGAAGCAAGAATCACATCTGATGGCCTCAATCCTCAACGCATACTTGGAGCATCACACACCGAGCAGTATTTTCACTTAAAACGTTGGCGTCAGCCCCGTTTGTCTGTTGGCAAAATACCGTCATTTCAATGGACAGAATTTAAAGCCATCATAGGTGTCGAAATACACCATTTTTCTATGATTTATAATTGTTTGAATTGAAAATACCCACTCAATACACATCGTTCGCTACTAAAAGTCTACTGCAAAATCAGCAGCGTCGTGTGTTGTTGCCAACAAGTACGAGTCGTTTGGTTACCGGTATGTTCGAACGTCGACGAGAACACTTTGGACAGTCTCGGCTCGCGACAGATATGCAAGATGTAAACAGTCAGAGAGAGAAGGATGAAATCAGACACCAAGCTGGAGAGAGAGGTGAAGTTCTCTCTCTCTCTCTCTGGAATCAAACAACGTCTAAAAGCTTTCAGGACGAGAGTCGACTGAAGTGGAGTCGTTAAAGGAGCGTTGAAGCCAATGTTGGGGTTAAGAGCGTATGCAAAAGAGCCGTGTTGAGATATGTTGAACTCTAATGGGACAATTTGTGACGGATTCCCAAATTTAGTTGTAAACACAAAAAATATTTGGTATTTAAAAGAAAACCTGAGAAGTTCGAGTTACATTAACCCCCCAAACAATCATTTATCGATGTTTAAATTGTGTTAGAAGCATATACATTCTTTTTCACGTATTTTGGCAACTTTTAAGACTCTTAATGAAACTGCATCTTCAACTGGTTACTAATTCAAGATGGCCACCGCAGCTAATTGAAATTAGCCACTGCAAAAATTATTTTAACTCCGTCAACTTTTCACACATCGAGGTAAATTTGGTGCTGTAATAGCTGAGAGGGGGAGTGGTGGAGCAGAGGTTAGAGAAGGTGGACTTGTGATCGGAAGATCACCGGTTCAACTCCCCGGACCGACAACATCAAAATGTGGGTGGGAAAAGTGAAACACCCACACCTGCCTCCACCCTCATTTGCTCCACTCTGGACCCTTGAGCAAGGCCCTTAACCCCCACCATCTGCTCCCTCGGGCGCCCCTAGATGGCAGCTCTCTGCTCCATACAGAGGGCTGTGGTAGCTCCGTGGTCTGTGGTTACGTCAGGAAGGGCATCCGGCATAAAAATAATTCTTTGTGCGAGTTAGTTTGCTGCGGCGACTCCTAAGGAAGGGAACAGCCGAAATAAGGAAAAGAGTAGCTGAGGATCATGAGATCAAACAGGACATCATTTACAAACACCAAAGTCCATGCCCAATAATCCAGGTAAAAATCCAGCAGTGTTCAGTCTCATCTGGACGGTTTCTTTTTTTCCTGAGATGTTTCGTCCTTCATCCAAAGGACTTCATCAGTCTGAGGAGACACAAACAAACTGGAGTCCCACAAGCTCCACACTCCCATAGAGGGGAAAAAAAAAGTTTGCTGGTGATAAGATGGTTTCTGGGGCCCGCTCTCTCCCCCGTCAACTCCTCTGAGGCAGCCATGCCAAAATGGTTAAAAACACCAAAGTTCATGCTCAGTAATCCAGGTAAAAATCCAACAATGTTCAGTCAGGTCATCTGGACGGTTTCTTTTATTGCTGAGGTGTCCTTCATCCAAAGGACTTCCATCAGTCCGAGGAGTCACAAACAAACAAACCGGAAACCGGGGGAGAGGGAGGGCGGGCCCCAGAAACCATCTTATCACCAGCAAACTTTTTTTTCCCACTATGGGAGTGTGCTGCTTGTGTGGCTCCTCGGACTGATGAAGTCCTTTGGATGAAGGACGAAACGTCTCCAAAGCCACCCAGATAACCTGACTGAACATTGTTGGATCATTTACAAAGTTTGACAAAAATGGCTAAAACTCCATCTCTTCTCAGCAAAAGAGGATTTTATTTTAGTTTAAACTTTAAATCTAAACTTAATTCAACTTTAACGTGTTGCTGTGTTTTTGTCTCTTAGTGAGATATTTAGTTTTCATGGTCTGCGTGTTTCTATAGTATAAAATCCCTTCAAAGCACCTGAAGTCCGACGCCTGGGAGCATTTTTTTTTTAAGGACAAATAAACAGTTTACACCTTTCCCTTCCTCTTTCCTCGGCTCTTTGTTTTTGCAGATGCTGTCCCGTTTATTGAAGAGCACACACCCCGATGATCTGAGAGCGGCAAACAAGCTCATTAAGGAAATGGTTCAGGAGGTGAGTTGTTTTGTTGACAGTGCGTGTTCGCTTCCTCTTCGTGTGAAAAGTTCAGTGACTTCACTCCTTAAGAGATCTGAAGCTTAAATATTTAGGACTTTAGGCTAAAGATTATAATTTAGATCAAATCTTTAAAATGTGCACACGTATCTGAAATATTAAGGGTTTGACATGTTTGATCAAAAAGACTGGTTTTGTGTCGGGATTAATGATAAAAAAAAAAAAAAGAAGGATAATCTGAAAATGTCATGATGATTTTAAAGAATTTAAAAAGATTTTTCATTTATACATTCTTTTAATTGTTTTATGAAATATAATCTATTTGTTTAGGCCGTAAAGTACACACACACAAAAAAACATAATCTCAATACTGTACGTTTAAAAGTACGTCCATAAAAAGACTTTAAGCTGTGTTAATCAAATTAAATGTTTTATAACATAATAATAAATAATCAGATCTGGATTTGGTGATTTGTCTTCAGCTTTATACATTGGAATGACTAGTAACCTTTTGAAATGTGTGATCTGTATCCTTGATTCTTTTTTCATCAGTTCTTATAAAAAAAATATTGATTTATCTTTTAATTTTGTGTTAGCAGTATAAGTACACGTCTGTAGATAGAATACTGCCTTTATACCTCTGTCGTGTCAGTGCCGTTGGTTGTAACAAGATCGTTGCGTCTCTCTTTCTCAGGATCAGAAGCGAGTGGAGAAGGTATCGAAGCGCGTGAACGCCATCCAGGAGGTGAAGGAGAGCGTCAGCCTGCTGAGCCAGCTGCTGGAGGGGTACGGAGCGGAGAGCTGCTCCCAGAGCAACCAGGAGCTCATTAAGGTTTGTAAAGCTCAACACTACGTAAAGATCATATTATAGTATTTTTACAGGCTCGTGATTTAGTCTTGCTGATGCAGCTTCATTACCGCCTTGTGCCAAACCAACTGTACCTCTTAGTGCTTTAGAGACCCTTATTGTGAAAATACCAGGATGCGCTCACTTCATGCTGTTGCGCTTCAATGTGACGTAAAACAAACTAATCAAACAGTTTAGGTAGTAAATGTAGTAAAACTGAAAATCTGAATATTTTCTTTCAATTTTGAGTCTGCAGCTAGTTTCAAACAGTCACAGCCCAGCCAGAAACTGCCTGAAGCTGCAGTGGTTGGTTTGGCATGATCCAGATTTACAATAGATTATTAATCCTCGGTGAAACTCTTGTAGTTTTTCATGAAAAATAAAATGTTGTTTAAAACCCATTTGGAGCAGAACTTCAAATGTTTTTCACAAGAATGAGGGGTGATTTCTCGGGCTAATGTGGGCTTTGAACGTTATAAATTTGCAGATACCAGTCAGAATAGACATAAAAAAAAACCTGAAATGCAGCAAACGTGTTTGAATGTTAAATCGTGGTTTTGATTTCAGGATCTCTACCAGCGCTGTGAGAAGATGAGGCCTACTCTGTTTAGATTAGCGAGCGATACAGAAGACAACGATGAAGCTTTAGGTAGGTTTGGATTTGACTGGGATTTGAGAGCCACGGGGGTGATGCTGACCAGTTTCCTCCTCACAGCCGATATTCTGCAGGCCAACGACAGCTTGACGCAGGTCATCAATCTGTACAGGCAGCTGGTGAAGGGAGAGGAGGTGACAAAAGATGGAGGCGCCGTGTCCTCGCAACCAGGTGTGCATTCCTGTTTTCCCGTTTCCTCCTGACGAGTAAAGCTCAACTCCACATTAATTGGTGCCTAATTTAATTTTATTCATATTTCTACAGACACTAAATCTGGCAGCAGTTCAGCTCTTGTAGACCTGGAAGGACTTAATGTCTCAGCCAAGACAGAACCGTCCAACTCAAACTTTTCCATCCCACAGGCTCTGACTCAGAACCTTGGATTGAACCTTTTAGACGATGAACTTGTGTCTCTGGGTAAGCAAAAAAAAAAAAAAAAAAAAAAAACTTGTTTGGCCCAATTTGATGCAGATATTTTCCATGCAAGGATTGTTTGAAAAGAGTTTGAGTGTTATAAGCTGCAGAAACTGTAACTGTTTTTAATCTTTCTAGGATTGAATGTAACGGAAAACTGTGACTCCGGCAGCATCTCTCAGGTGGGAAGTAAGATCATGATGGGCATGTTTGTATGGATAAAAGCAAGCAGAAAGTTAAAATCTTATCTCTCTGACCACACTCAATTCATTCAGCTTAAATCCTTCCGTTCTGTCTTGCCCTGTCTCCACGGGTGTGCCCCAAGGCTCTGTCCTCAGACCACTCCTCTTCTTCACTTACTTCATCACTTACCTCATTCCTCTAGGTCGACTCTGTGACCACAACTCTGTCCATCTGTTCATCAGATTTTTTTTAATTCTTCACTGAGCTGTGATTAGTTAATGGCTCAAAACTGCAAGAAAACTGACATTTTTTGTTCTAGTCTCTCAGAAGAAAAAAAAAAAAGTCCCATTTTTGTGTGCTTGGCTTGTAAAATGGTGTACTAGTCCATGTGTATAACTTAAAGCCCACCTCCACCTTTTGTCAGAGAGGTTTTTAGCGCGGGGCATTTTGGGTTTCAGCCTCAGATGTCTTGTCAGAATGCTGCGGTGTAGGTGTCAAAATACAGCTGCAAGCGCACTGACATTTACAGAAACTAACATGAAAACAGTTTAGGAAGGATCGACTCGGTGACCATTTTATGAGAAGATTAGTCACACGAATGGTTTGATCATGATCCAATTTTATGCAACAAAACTTACAAGGAAACTGAGAAAGCCAAAGAAGTTTGGAGACATTTAAGAGACACTTTCTCCAATGCCATTCAAAAATTAGCTGTCAGCTGTTGCAGCTCACTGAGATACTTTTTTAACAGACATACACAAATGCAATTACGTATTGATTATTCAACACACTGATTTTTGTACAGATTTGACATTAAATACCAGTAAGTTTAATCTCTTTACACACTTCAGGGTTCCCAGGTGACTGGAAGTCTTGAGATAACCTGGAAAAAGATGTAATTTTCCAGACAGGGAAAACTCAGGGAATAAGAGCACTGATCTGCTGATTAGAAGATTATTACTAGTATTCTAGTATCATTGAGTCCATGTTCTGCTTCTACATTGTGCATAGTATATGTATCCATACTGATTGGCTATAATGAATTATTAGGAAGATTGCTCTAAACGTGTACTTTAGGATATAATACAGTATATTACTGTTATAATGTGAGTGGCTGCTACCTATGTTCTGAGCATTTCATGTGACGGAAATATATCCTGGAATTCCAGGATTTACTCAGATTTTTATGAAATTGTGTATCTGTTCCTCCTTCCTGTTCCTCTCAAACCCAGCCGGTCGAAGCAGATGGCCGCTTGTCGTGAGTCTGGTTCTGTTGGAGGTTTCTTCCTCAAGAGGGAGTTTTTACTTTCCACTGTCGCCTTCATGCTCGCTCAAGATGAGAGTCTGCGATGAAGTTAAACTCAAAGCAGTCTGCTCCTCAGATAAATAATGTTATTAACTTACTTTTCATGTTTGTGACTGTTTCTGTTCAGTGCCGAGATGACTTCTGTTGTGACTTGGAGTTTTATAAATAAAGTGAATTGAATTCAAATGCTGGGGACCCTGAGACTTGCCTCAAAAACAAAGTCTCCGTTTTGTTCCCAGTTGCTAAGTATTTCAGAACCCTCAGCTCCAGCTGCAGCGTTACAACCAGCTGTGGTCCAGACCTCACACGCTCCACCAGCAGGCACCCTTCCTGCTCCTCCTAAAGCCATGGAAGAATTGGACTTGTTGGGGAAAACCTTGTTACAACAGTCTCTACCTCCAGAAAGCCGGCAGGTGAAATGGTGAGTAAAACTTCCTGGAAAATACAGAAATAATGTCCTAAATGTTGCCAGATAAAGTGAAATGCACCACAGCAGCAGTTTTGTTTGTTAAAAAGAACCACATTTTGACTATTTTGACTTTTAAGTTACTTTTTTTTGCAGGGATAAACTTCAGTCTCAGTCTAAAGTCCCTTTGCGAGATCTGCAAACCAAATCTGGCACCAGCTCTAGACCTCCTGCTGCAGAGCCGACGTCCAGCCTCCTTTCAGACTCACCTGACGCCCTCCTCTTCTCCAACGTTAGTGTCGCAGAGAAAAGCTCGTCATCAGCGGCTGATCTTTACGACAGCATCTCACTGACGGACGTCACCGTGCATCTGGAATCCATCAAACCCAGTAAGAACAAAGATGCTGGTTTGTCTCCATTTTACAGGAAACTGACTCAAAACCTGAAGTCTTCACCAGCAGACGGTGCCGGAGTGATCAAAGTTATCATTGTCTGAAAAAATAATTACACTAAAGACAAAGTCAGATGATGTTCTTTCATTTGTCTTTGAAATTAACTCAGCACTGACTCGAACCTAAACTTAGCTTTGTTTTTTACTTTCACACAACTCCAACTTCAGAACCTTGTAAAGAAAAGACAAAAATACATCAAATTTTAACAAAACAGAACTAAATATACAAATTATTTGTAAAAAAAAAAAAAATATATATATATATATATATATATATATAT